CTAACCTAGCCTAGCCTAACCTAACCTAACTAGAGACGTTCTTTTATCATTAGTTAAGAGGACTTGGGTTGTGAACGGGGGGAATCAGCGCAAGGTTCTTTGAGAATTAGTGTTTAAGGTCATGTCAGGTCACCCAGCCTAGTACCTCTTGAGGGTTAAGATTTGTGAGCAAAGTGGTGGAGGGAGAAGAGAAAGAGAAGCAGAGGGAGAAGGGGAGGGGAAGAAAGGAGATCGTGGAGGAGAATGAGACTTAGAAGAAAAGTAGAAGGGAAGAGGAGAAAAGAAAACAAAAGAGGAAAAGTGGTTTAGCATTAAGGACTTGCTCGCCTTTTATCGTCCAGTTCTTCTCACTAATTCTCAAACCACAAATTGAAAGCGATCAGACGGAGGCACTTCGACCTCTGGCTGTAAGATGGCGAGTCGATTTCAGTCATAATATTATTCCACTAAACTTTCAGGTCATGACTCAGTACTTCACTACCAGCAAAAATACAAAAAAAAACACGTATAGTTGTCTCATATCTTCACTACACTAGTATAGCTACGACGAAGTGTGTCAAACAGACTTAAACTCACACGCAATTCATACAACCCCACGCACTCAAACACCCCCACACACACTCACACGTTCTCACAGGCTCTCAAGCACTCATCCTCACACGCAATTACAAGACCTTACATGCACTTACACACTCTTATAAACACCGATACGTACTTACAATACTTTCAAACGTCCTCAAATACACTCGAGTGCACTCATGCTTATTCACATACATTCTCTTAATACTAAAATCTCTTGGGAAATATTTTAAATAAGATCCGTGCCGTCACTACATTAAGCTGAACATTAAGCTGAACATTAAGCTGAACATTAAGCTGAACATTAAGCTGAACATTAAACTAAACATTAAACTGAACATTAAGCTGAAAATTAAGCTGAACATTAAGCGTTATAATCTTATCGCCACATCAGTAAAAAATCTATTGATACAAATTGATTTTATTTACCAGCACGAGTAAACAGACATAGTTGATGGTGGACAGATGGCAGTGTGGTGGTGAAGGAAACACGACTAAGAGAAGGAGCTTTATTCCTGACTTATCTAATTATTTTCTTTCTCAATACATAAACACAATCACTTCCCTCACGTACCCAAATCTTGTCTATTTGTGACGAAAGAAATAATTTATAACCTTATTGAAAGTATCCGAACCAAACTTGACCTAACCTAATCTAACCTAACCTAACCCAACCTAATCCAACCCAACCCAACCCAACCTAACCTAACCTAAATCAACGTGTGAATTTACAGATTATCTTACTAAAGGGAATTTTTATGCTCAATAAAACCCTCCAAAGAACTAATATTTGACCTCCCCAGTGAAGATTCGAACCCAGGCCCAATAGATTGACTCACCAGTACTCCAACCACTACACCACCGACAGATCAACGATAAAAGTGAGGTGATGTAAATATTCTGCTGAAACCAATTAGAGAAGCACCAGGTAGCCGTCAGTAGCTCATGTCAGTTTCCCCCCCCCCCTCCCCCAGGTGACATGACCTTACAGGACCCGAGAGAGTAATGTCATCACCGTCTGTACTGCTGATGAGTGTGGTGGTGTGGGTGATCTCTCAGTGCCTACCTAGATCGTCTGTGGTCGAATCTAGTTTCGTATCTGTCTTATTTAGTCTGGCTTTATTTGTCTGGTGTGTGTGTGTGTGTGTGTGTTTGTATGCCTGTCTCTCTGTTTCCATGATTCTCTCTCTCGTTGTTGGGGTTAAGTTAGGTAGGTAGGTAGGGGTTGGCCACTTGTTCATTCTGGTCAACACTTTAGCGGGTGATCCTGTGAAGTGTGTGTGTGTGTGTGTGTGTGTGTGTGTGTGTGTGTGTGTGTGTGTGTGTGTGTGTGTGTGTGTGTGTGTGTGTGGTGTGTCTGCGACACTTCTCCTACACACACACACACACACACACACACACACACACACACACACACACACACACACACACACACACGCACACACGTACACCCTCACCACTGTCTTTTAAAATCGCGTACGTCCTTCACCATTGCTTTTTTTTATTCACGTACACATCAATACTGTCTTTTAAAATCAGGTACATCAACTGCATTGTCTCTCAAAATCATGTACACACCATTAATACTACCTTTTAAAATCGCGTAAGTCATCAGCATTGTCTTTTAAAATCACGTAGGCCATTAGGATTACCTCTTAAAATCACGTACAGTTGGCGACATTTCCGACTAGTACACTCAGTTTTGTCTCCGTGAAATGTGAATCCCGAGAGTATCGAAGCTTGAATCCGAAGCCTCTATGTGAACCCCGAGAGTATCGAAGCTTGAATCCGAAGCCTCTGTGTGAACCCCGAGAGTATCGAAGCTTGAATCCGAAGCCTCTGTGTGAACCCCGAGAGTATCGAAGCTTGAATCCGAAGCCTCTGTGTGAATCCCGAGAGTATCAAAGCGTGAATCCGAAGCCTCCAAGTTACTCGGTGAGGTGCTGCATACAGTAGCCCGGGACCACAATGATATAATTTGACTCATTACCTGGTCCGGCAATGTTTACATAGTTTAAGTGGGATGTATGGATGCTTTTCATTCATCTCATAATACTTGTCCTGCGGTGGAAGAACCCAACCCAACTCAACCCAACCCAACCTAGCTCAACCCAACCTGATCGTGGTCCGTGATTCTTGACGCCATCGCCCACCCCTTCGGATATCACCATTCTCACTTACCAGATCACCAACCCATCCCAACACACCAGCCCAATACACACATCTGTTATTTATTGGTTCATGAAAGTCACCACGCGATAAAAGGATTACAGGAGAGTTGAATAAAAAAAATAATAATAAAAATAATGTATGTTTTGTCAGGGTCACTGAGCATCGAGAACAGGTCTTGATTATTTTTTACAGTAGAGAACTATTAAAAAATTACAACACCACGGGACCTTGTCATGGTTGTTGTTTTCTCGATTGCAATCTTTGTTTATTGGTAGGTAAGACAAGCTCAACAAATAAACACTGTGTTCTTATTGTTTGATTAATTACTCAACACCATTATTTTTTAGATCAAACTACATTAATAAAGAATTCAAACACCTTAAACTAATCCTATGAACAAACTGAACAATGCATAATTAAAGGTCACATCTCAACTGAAAATTTTAAACTTCTTGAACAGAATTTTTGAGCTATGTGTTTACGTATATGAGAACACGTTCAAATAAAACTAGACAAGGATTAATTTCATCAATCAACAGTGACACCCACGAGTATGATGAGTCTGAGCCCCCCCCCCCACCCCTCCCCCACCTGCCCCTCCCCCCGGGCTGTGGCTTAATTGAGAAAACGGAAGCCAAAACTGCCCAAAATCGTAGGAGTGGAACCATTTTGTTACGTAAGCTTTACCCTGCTCAGAGTCGCCATTTCTACACACACACACACACACACACACACACACACACACACACATCCTTGACCACCGAAGGGTCAAGACGTACCTGGCGCTCCTCTCGGAGCAGCCAGGTCAACTGTTAAGTTGGCCCATACCAACCCCCTCCCCTGAACCCTCCTCCCCACCGGAATATCAACAAGTTCTCGCCAGAAGTTACAATTTCATTTAGGAAACGAATGGAACCAGTGTTAAACAGAGGTGAACAGTGGTGAACAGTGCTTAAGTCAGTGAGAACAACTCAACAGTAACAGTCGTACCCAAGTTAACCTTCACACATGAGGTCCCAGGTACCCAGTGATAACGGCCCGTGAGACCCAACAACAACCAGCGATGTGTTAATCCGTCTACGGTAGGAAGGCCTGGGACCACACCTCACTCATATAACACCATCTGTGAGGGAAGTACTATACCACGTCAGGTCCCTCATAACACCATCTGTGAGGGAGTTACTACTCCACGTGAGGCCCCTCATAACACCATCTGTGAGGGAATTACTACACCACGTGGTCCCTCATAACACCATCTGTGAGGGAATTACTACACCACGTGGTCCCTCATAACACCATCTGTGAGGGAATTACTACACCACGTGGTCCCTCATAACACCATCTGTGAGGGAACTACTACACCACGTGAGGTCCCTCCTAACACCATCTGGGAGGGAGTTACTACACTTCATGTTTGCTGTTCAACACCTACATTAATCTGTATGCTCACTGTATGTTCCTTTACCTTTCTCTAATGAAGGCTTTTGTTAAACCACCAATATATGTAATAAGTCATTTATGTCCGATGTATATTTTCAGCCTTCGGGCAGCAGAACTTTTTTTAATAAACCGTTTATTATTATTATTATTATTATTATTATTATTATTATTATTATTATTACTATTATTATTATTATTATTATTATTATTATTATTATTATTATTATTACAATATGTCAACCATCCCTCCGTATGTGACCTAGATATAAGTAACTCAGTGAACACAGTAACACAGGACGTGTATTGAACAACAACGAGGACAACTTCTACCATAATAAGGTCCCTTGAACATGAGGTCCCTTGAACATGAGGTCCCTTGAACATGAGGTCCCTTGAACATGAGGTCCCTTGAACATGAGGTCCCTTGAACATGAGGTCCCTTGAACATAAGGTCCCTTGAACATGAGGTCCCTTGAACATGAGGTCCCTTGAACATGAGGTCCCTTGAACATGAGGTCCCTTGAACATGAGGTCCTTGAACATAAGGTCCCTTGGTCCCTTGAACATGAGGTCCCTTGAACATGAGGTCCCTTGAACATGAGGTCCCTTGAACATGAGGTCCCTTGAACATGAGGTCCCTTGAACATGAGGTCCCTTGAACATGAGGTCCCTTGAACATAAGGTCCCTTGAACATGAGGTCCCTTGAACATGAGGTCCCTTGAACATAAGGTCCCTTGAACATGAGGTCCCTTGAACATGATATTGTTTGAACATAAATAAGTGATGAGTTTACATGAACATGACTGAACTAAACCCAAGCTTGAGCGGAACGTGGACAGGGTTGGCCATGAGCGGAACGTGAACAGGGGTGGCCATGAGCGGAACGTGGACAGGGGTGGCCATGAGCGGAACGTGGACAGGGGTGGCCATGAGCGGAACGTGGACAGGGTTGGCCATGATTGGAACGAGGACAGGGGTGGCCTTTAGCGGAACGTAACAGGGTGGCCATGAGCGGAACGTGGACAGGGGTGAGCGGAACGTGAACAGGGGTGGCCATGAGCGAACGTGGACACAGCGGAACGTGAACAGGGGTGGCCATGAGCGGAACGTGGACAGGGGTGGCCATGAGCGGAACGTGAACAGGGGTGGCCATGAGCGGAACGTGGACAGGGGTGGCCATGAGCGGAACGTGAACAGGGGTGGCCATGAGCGGAACGTGGGCAGGGGTGGCCATGAGCGGAACGCCAACATAAAGTGACCTGAATGTGAGTTCATCTAAACTTAAGACGTAATAAACCTCGACTTATCTTACCTTATATTGCAGGCGGCTTTATTACGGCAGAGCTGAAATGAAGAGTAAAAACAGATTAATAATAATAATAATAATAATAATAATAATAATAATAATAATAATAATAATAATAATAATAATAATAATAATAATAATAAATCCATGTTTCAAAATCTATATCAATACAATACAAACTAGAATCGTACAGACAGACAGACGGACAGACAGACAGACAGACAGACAGACAGACAGACAGACAGACAGACAGACAGACAAAACATAAACACTGGAGTTAAAAAGAGACACAAAGTCACATTATAACATACATAAATACGATGAACTCCTCTTAAAAAAAACCCACCTGTGTTAGAATATAGATTAACACTACAAAACCCTACAACTACATAAACCCTTTCCTATGCTGGACACACAAGAACACAAGAATGGAGGAAACTTCAGCGGGCCTATTGGTCCATACTGGGCAGACCCGTTTACACCCAACACCTATCGCTTATATAGCCATCCAACCTATGTTTGAAGCAATCCAGCGTATTCGAGTTAATGATGATATTTAGTAACTTGTTCCACTCATCCAATACTCTATTTCCAAACCAATGTTTACCTATTTCGCGCCTAAATCTAAATTTGTCTAATTTAAAACCATTGTTACGAGTTCGCTCCTGGTTGGATAGTTTGAGTACCTTTGTAATGTTACCTGACTTCCATTTATACACCTGTATCATATCGCCCCTCACTCTACGTCTCTCGAGGGAGTGCAAATTAAGATGCTTTAACCTGTCTCTATACTCAAGGTTCCTAATGCCCGGGATTAGTCTTGTCATTCTCCTCTGAATTCTTTCCAAGGATTCTATATCTATTCTTAATACGGACGAGGCTATGTAGTGACCCTCAGATAAGATTGTCTGTATATCCCTTTAGATCTTAACATGTCTGGGTCGTGGAAGGATGCACCTGCCTCTAGTGACCTTGCATTGTGACGTAAGAATCAGCTGATGTGTTAAGTTTTGTATGCAGGTTCTGTATGTTAATCTCCTTTCACCTCGAGTACTCTGTCTCTGTCTCTTATTTCAGTTTTATGTTATAGTTCTGTCTCTCACTAAACCTCTCCCTGTCTTTTCATTTCGTCTCATTGTATGTATGTATGTATGTACGGGTAGAAAATGTGTGTGTGTGTGTGTGTGTGTGTGTGTGTGTGTGTGTGTGTGTGTGTGAACTTTACCCGGCAATAGGACCCACTAACCCCCCAAGAGACTCTTTAACCAATCGAGGACCATTCAAGCACGATCTTTACCTGCTTCACTGACCTAATTACCTCACCTCACCTTACCTCACCTGTATCACATTTTTTTATCATAGTCAAGATTAAAGATTATATCAGTACTTTATACCATATATGTAAACCTGAACTCTCTCTCTCTTTGTGTACTTCCCATAGAGAATTTTAACCGACAGTGACCTTCATGGCACTTCCGTCTGGCAGTACTCCTCTGAGGCTTATTTTAACATCAGTTCCTTCTCGTATAACTTCCGGCTTACCTGTCTGGCCTCAACAAACATCCAAGCATCAGGCAATAAATCAAATGTTTCTATTTATTCGAATAATAATGCCGTAAGGTGTATAGTGGAGGTAAAATGCATTGCTTTCAATATTTAACCTTAACCTAACCTAACCTAACCAAACCTAACCAAACCTAACCTAACCTAACCTAACTTAACCTAACCTAACCTACGTGATGATGCTTTAAACTCGTGTGTGTGTCTGTCTCTCTGTACATCATTACCCTCAGGTGTTCATGCTTTCCTTACACAACATGTAGCGTGTTCGTCAAGGTTATATTTAGTAGTTACTGAGGTAAGTTATTCCATGAAAGAAGGAAGCATCATCGCCCTGTTCAGAGATGAGATTAAAGATTTCATTCTTCCATTTCAACATCTATTCTTCGATTAAAGAAATGTCATGAGTGTGTGTGTGTGTGTGTGTGTGTGTGTGTGTGTGTGTGTGTGTGTGTGTGTGTGTGTGTGATAGTGAAGCGCGATGGCATGTGAGGTAGTGTTGGTATGCGCCACAGTTAACTATGTATAAACTCGTATGAAAATAATCATATACAAATAGACACACACACACACACACACACATCATCTACAGGTGGGTCATGGCTAGTATGTGTGTTCACCTGTAAACACCTGTGAGTGAGGGAGGGAGGGAGGGAGGGAGGGCGTATCCGGGAGGCTTTCGTGGAGTGAATACCTCAGTCACTCCACCCTAGAAGGACCACCAACACGTACAGTACATTCTTCGCCTAGTATAGACAGAGATTAACAAGTCTCATCTTATTAATTGTATAATATTCACCATTCATTCATTTTAAGGGCGATCGTCTTTTAAGTTAGTAAAGATGCAATACCTCGATCCTATACATTTTCGACACACCAGCGAGAAAAAAATATCTTATAAATTTGTCCATATCAGTGAACTTTATAGACTAAGAGGTTCAAGATTACCTCAGTTATACCAACACCACTAACAGATACAGGGAGATTTAGACTATGTACTGTTGAGGGTGAGGATATCAAAGTTCACAAATTATGGAGTGGACATATAAAATTCGCTCCTGAGTTTCGGCTTATCTCGTGTTACTGAGACGTCTTGAACAAGTTGGGTTGATGTATTACTAAATCATCAAACACACAGGTAAACTATAGCTACTCCGAGTGATGAAAATAAATACAGGTAATTGAACTATTTTCCCTTAATTAGCAATTAAACAAAGCTCTGTTGTTACTTTAAAAACAATAGGAAATGGCCAAGAGGTAATAAAAACGATCAATTTGTTTTGCTACGGGTGAATAAAGCGCTCGCCTCCTGTCCTATGGGTAAGATGGTCGTCGGCTGAGGCACCCCCAGTCCACCCAGCTGTAAATGGGAACCTAACTTAACAGTCGAGGGTAATAAGATCACTCGAGGGTTCCACCGCTTATATACCAAAGGCTTTATATTCATCTTGCTATATCCTCGCTGCCCTTAATGGTCCACCCCCCTAAAAACGGTTCAGGCTGTAAGACATGGAGACACCCATACTACCTGGCGGATGGGTAATTGTTTATAGGCAGAGAGAAGGACGATGGCGGCTCACCTGTTTGGATCAAAGTGGTGGGCATTTATTAGCGTCTCTACTTGTATTGTACTTGTTGGTGTCGCTTCTGTACTTGTTATTACTACTTTTTTTTATTGAAGCTTTGTTTTATTTTGGTGTCTTTGTTGTGGTTACTGAATTGTTGTTGTTGTTGTTGTTGTTGTTGTTGTTGTTGTTGCTTTTCTTGTTGTTTTTTGTATTTTGTGGCTATTGTTGTGTTATTATTGTTGTTGTTGTTTTCTTGTTGCGGTGTTGTATTATTTTGTTGTTGTGGTTGTTGCTTTTTCTAATTTTTTTGTTATTTTCGTCTGTGATTGAAAAGACTATTGTTTTATACGTATCTCTTTTACTATAGTACGATAGTTTTTTTTTCGTTTTTGTATTTATTCATATATCTGAGAGAGAGAGAGAGAGAGAGAGAGAGAGAGAGAGAGAGAGAGAGAGAGAGAGAGAGAGAGAGAGAGAGAGAGATCACACCATTTTCGCACAATATATCGAGACAGGTGATCAATATCAACCTACCTGTTCCCCGGTACACAGGTCTCAAGAGTATTAATGACAACACCAATATTTTGTTCCCGCCAGCCGACATACACCTCGGCAAAAACCTCACCATCAAAACACGTTCTCGTTAATCACATGTAACTTGAATGATTTGGGGCTAATGTTGTGTATGTTTGCTAGTTTTAATGTGCTATGTTGTGTATGTTTGCTAGTTTTAATGAGCTATGTTGTGTATGTTTGCTAGTTTTAATGTGCTATGTTGTGTATGTTTGCTAGTTTTGATGAGCTATGTTGGGTATGTTTGCTAGTTTTGATGAGCTATGTTGGGTATGTTTTCTAGTTTTAATGAGCTATGTTGTGTATGTTTGCTAGTTTTTATGTGCTATGTTGTGTATGTTTGCTAGTTTTAATGTGCTATGTTGTGTATGTTTGCTAGTTTTTATGTGATATGTTGTATTTGATAGTTTTAATATACTATGTTGAGTATGTTTGCTAGTTTTAATGTGCTATGTTGTATATGTTTGCTAGGGTTTTAATGTGCTATGTTGCATGTTTGCTAGTTTTAATGAGCTATGTTGTGTATGTTTGCTAGTTTTTAATGAGCCATGTTGTGTGTATGTTTGCTAGTTTTAATGAGTCATAAGCTGCATGTTTGCTAGTTTTGTTTGGCAACAGTATGTTTGCTAGTTTTGATGAGCCATGTTGCATGTTTGCTAGTTTTAATGGTGCTGTGTTGTGTGTTATTGCTAGTTTTAATGTGCTATGTTGTGCATGTTTACAGTTTTGTGCTTAAAGTGTATGTTTGCTAGTTTTAATGTGCTATGCTGTGTATGTTTGCTAGTTTTTATGTGATATGTTGTATTTGATAGTTTTAATATACTATGTTGTGTATGTTTGCTAGTTTTAATGTGCTATGTTGTGTATGTTTGCTAGTTTTAATGTGCTATGTTGTGTATGTTTGCTAGTTTTTATGTGATATGTTGTATTTGATAGTTTTAATATACTATGTTGTGTATGTTTGCTAGTTTTAATATACTTGTACTATGTTGAGTATGTTTGCTAGTTTTAATGTACTATGTTGAGTATGTTTGCTAGTTTTAATGTACTATGTTGAGTATGTTTGCTAGTTTTAATATTCTATGTTGAGTATGTTTGCTAGTTTTAATGTGCTATTCTGTATATTGGCTTCTTTTATTGTATTTCTTCACTGATTTATTTTTCAAATTTCTTGGCATCCAAATGTAAAATGTAAAAAGAATAAGGTGTGATTCTTTTAGACTTTAC